AAAACAACATTTTTCAGGTTTTTAATCTGTTTGGTTATATTTTAAGCATATATCTATGTATATTAGTCTGCTTACAAATCACCGTACTTTCTTTTCACACCGTATTGTTTACTTTCTTCCTTTGTTTAGTCGTTTCTAGAAAACGTTTACTCTTGACATAAATGCGGTAGGTTAGAGACACAGCTAATAACTTTGTCTAGTCAGTTCATCTTCTATTTTATATTATAAACATCCATTTGTTCCCTGACGCAACTAACTTTCAGTTACACTTCCGAGCCTCTTTATGTATTGAACAATCTGGGAAAACAACGTAATCAGAATCGTATTATCCCTTTTATGTAAATTCAATCCAATGATATCCGAGTTTATTGCTACAACAATAGCTGTTACGTATATTTACTTACCAGTTTCTTTGAATTAGGGTGAAAAATAAGTGGACTGTTTACCTAAGTTAAAAAAAGGCCCACCTGATACTCTGTGATGTGAATGTTGACTTTTGCAATTTTAATCCGTTTTCTGAAAAACAAAAGTGACCACCAGGCTCTTGTGTTCTACCCCTGTTACTCTAGCCAATCATATCTATTCTAGAGTTGAAAACATGGGAAGATGACTGCTATCTGTCAAATTATATGTGTATAATGTGTACAATACATCACTCCTTTGATTGAAATATTTACACATTTCTATCATTGAATTAAAAAATATAAGTTTTCGGTATTTTCAACCTGAGCTGCACCTTATATGACACGTGGGTCATATAACTTCGTGTCATCTATGCGATTACTCTAAAACCAATAACGGAATTGATTATCACAGTTGAAAAAACCCCAGTTATAGATGAAACTATAAGTGGTATTTCGCGACTCGAGCGTTGAACATTCCGAACCGCAGCCCGTTAAGCTAACCATTTCGCTACGACTGGCCTCAAAAATTAGGATTTTTATCTGATAAGTAACAGTATTTTTTTCCTGTTGAAGCCCTTTATTCCCAATGGAATTCAAACAATTAACATAAATAAAATGCAATTTGTACTAATAAAGTCTACAAGCATTCATCTATCCGCACGTGGTTCTTTACATATGCATCATGTTGGCTAGCACAATTCAACATTGAAACAGTCTAGCGCAGTATGATGAAAAGGATGTGAATAATAACAATATAAAACTAAGGAAACAAAATAAAGCGCATTAATTGAGTAAACCAACGCATTGACGCCGCTGGCTCATGCGCCCTGCGCATTGTTGTTATAATAATACGCGCTTTATGTACACGTATATTGTTGGCGTCACCATACTAAACGTATGTATTTTCCTATAAATTTACAGTCGAACGGATTGAGTCATTAAAAATCAGAATAATTATAAGTAATGATCATAGCTTCAGAGCATGTTTATGACATTCTAAGAACTTATTAAAAGTAAATAAGAATGTATGATAATATGTCAACCACATTATACCTGCTCTATCTAGTGTAGACGAGTTGTTTCCTTAATGTTAGGGCTCATCGGACAAGCTGGGATACGACAGACGCAGTGAAGTTTGTTGTGTAATAAATATCACTTGGATGGCATGTAAGTTACATGTCTAGCGTGTTGAAATGTAAACAGTTAAAATTACTTTATGAACGGTAAGAATTTAACAAAATTAAGGAGAGGGGGATATCGTATGACTTGATTCTCCATAAATAAGATACTAAAGTGTGTTTTGTAATATATTTTGGTGGCACATAAATTACTTGTCTGGCGTGTTGAACAGAAAACAGTTAAAATGATAACATGAACGGTAAGCATTTAAAAAAGGGGATGGGATACGACTCGATTCTCCAGTGTAGCCCCCCCCCTCCCCAGTGGCACAGCGGTATGTCTGCGGACTTATAACGCTAGAAACCGGGTTTCGATACCCGTGGTGGGCAGAGAGCACATACAGCCCATTGTGTAGCTTTGTGCTTAACTACAAACAAACAAAGCTCTAGTGTAAACGCATCAAGGACAATTAAGTGTTCGTATAACCTCCCAGCAGCACTCTGAAAATAGAGTCGGAACCTTGAAATGACTCCGAGTCTACAGAGTCGTAGCTGGTTCCAATCTAGAGCAGACTGAATAGTCAGTTGGTAACTTGGCCGACAGAAAATGTTATAGACGAGTCTTTGTAATGAGTATTTTTAATGCATATGATAAATATAAATTATTTAGAGATTTTTAGTTGAAATATTGCGAAGAAACTGTAGATACCGTGTATTTCTGAGAAACTTGGAATTACAAATTTGAGAAATCTTGCCAAAACATCCAAGGGCCTTTATAGCTTGATTTATATAATATATCAATGATGGTATCACGTTAATTTTTGATATGTTTGTACTGTAAATAAATCCTTATAACATATTATCGAATAGACCTCTAATTTAATACTTGGGAAACTAAACCTATGTAATACACTCTTGATTAATGATTATCCTGTCATATCTTGATAGTGGCGGCTCGGCATGGCCAGGTGGTTAGGGAACTCGACTCGCAATCTGCGGGTCGAGGGTTCGAATCCCCGTCACATCAAACATGCTCGCCCTTTCAGCAGTGGGGGCGTTATAATGTGACGGTCAATCCCACTATTCGTTGGTAAAAGAGTAGCCCAAGAGTTGGCGGTGGGTGGTGATGACTAGCTGCCTTCCCTCTAGTCTTATACTGCTAAATTAGGGAAGGCTAGCGCAGATAGCCCTCGTGTAGCTGTGCGCGAAATCCATAACAAACAAACAATCGCGACAGTGATGTATAAAAAGAAAACAAGAACTACCAACTGCTTACAGGAAATTAGTGACATGATATCGGCCTAATTCTTCGTATGAACGTTGAGTTTCATTTTGTTTGTCATTTTTAATGTGTTTTTTTTTGTATTTTTGATCCGTTTTTTTGTCGGGTGAGCGCGTTTCTTCTAGTAGACGAATGTTTACAAGTGTATTTAGATCTTGAGTATTCGTAAGTTGTACATTTGCTGTTATGTTAAACTTATATTAAAGTTTTTCTTCATTACCCATTCAAGCCGTCTCCAACCATTATTAGTCTCAAAGTGGGTTCCTCGTTATCGAGTAGTGGGTTGTATGCAATCTCAGATATAATTTTGAATATTATCGTTATTTATGATTAACTTTTTCACTTAAGAAAGTTATTTCGTAGTGACCTGATCGCTTAGTATGCGCATATAGGACTAATCTAAATCTCTTAAGCTAACAGCACCTCGTCAAGAGATTATTGCATATTCAGCTAAGAATATCGTTAGCAGTTTGGGTACCTTAGTGATAACTGAATGTATTTTAGCCACTATAGGCTTAGGTTTGTTTTGTTTTGACTTGTAACATGATGCAATTCTATTCGGTTTATTTTATAGAAATGGCTTTATTTAGTTACATGTTGCCTTTTCGTTCTGAATTATATATACTTTAACACAAAGCTACATAATGGGCCATAATAGCAAAAACAACAACAAGAACAATAGTAAAAACAACAACAACAAGAACACTAGTACAATACAACAACAACAACAAGAATAGTAGCAAAAAATACAGTTGAGGTTTAAGCTACATATATACGAACCATGGTGCTTAACTGTGGCTTAATCCCCCTTACTCCTTCTAAATTATATCGCTCTTAACTCTAATCCAAAATTCATCCAAAATTTATGGACATCTAAATTTATAAATATAGTAGTTGGTGAAACTAATATTGTGTTTAAAAACTCAGAAGAAAGTTTAGAAAATGACGACAAAATAGGGTTACCAAAGTTGGATTGTAAAGCTAGGGAAAGAGCACGCAAGTGTGAAGATATATATTAGAATATTCGAAGTGCAAACACAAGTTTTAAATACCAATAGCTTCCGATCAGAATATTTGTTTGTTTGTTTATTGTTATGCACACAGCTACACAATGGGGTGTCTGTTCTGTGCTCACCACAAATATCGAAACCCGGTTTTTAGTGTTATAAGCCTTGAGACTTATCGCTGAGCGACTGGAAGCTGATCAGAGTAAGCTACATTCTTAGACCGAAACTAAACATCAGCGTGGTTATCGTTATAACTAAAAAATATACTTTTTTACGTATCTACTTAAGAAGGTTAGTTAGTTTGTTTTTAATTTCGCGCAAAACTACACGAGGGCTATCTACGCTAGCTGTCCCTAATTTAGCAGTGAAAGACTAAAGGGAAGGCAGCTAGTCATCACCACCTACCACCAATTTATGGGCTACTCTTTTACCAGCGAATAGTGGGATTGACTGTCACATTATAACGCCTCCACGGCTGAAAGGGCAAGCGTGTTTAGTGGGACGAGGATTAAGAAGTTTAGAATCCATTGCTTAATCATTTGGGTACCCTCGCTATTAAAGGTATTTTCGGCCATAAACCCAATAAAATATCACGGAATAACATCATTCAGGATTACTTGTTTGCAAAACAGAAAACGTAACTGTGCATTATTGCAAGTCAGACTGTCCAGACTAAAACAACTAATAAGGTTGTTTCATGTTTTGAGGATGCCATTTACGTCATTCTGCTAGGCTATTTGGACCAAATATCTACCCAACATTCACAGTTTACCACGTTAGTCTGATAGAAGAACGTTTTAGTACTGTCTTTATGGTAACTGAATAATGGTTATGTAGCTCACACATGTGTGAACGATTTTACTTTTTGTAAGTATAGAAGAGCCTATTTATCTCTTTATCTGTCGCCTATCACTGCACTTTTTTCCAAATGGAGCTTTGAAACAGGTTTTAGAATATGAGTGACATCTAAGCATCTTACAAATAATGCTATGTCGGTGTTAGTTTGTATGTGGTTCAATAGATGTGTGAACGATTTTACTTTTTGTAAGTATAGAAGAGCCTATTTATCTCTTTATCTGTCGCCTATCACTGCACTTTTTTCCAAATGGAGCTTTGAAACAGGTTTTAGAATATGAGTGACATCTAAGCATCTTACAAATAATGCTATGTCGGTGTTAGTTTGTATGTGGTTCAATAGAGTTTCGAAATATAATTTCACACTCTCTGAACGATTTGTATTTTCACACAGGATTTCTTTCTGTATTGGCAAACAAAAGTTGGCAAGTCACGTCTACATCAACGAAATGCAAATCTTGAAAATCGTAGAAGAATCTTCTCGTTTCGCTCGAAATGATTCTAGGATCCTATAAATTGCTGATCTTTAAACACTATTGGATCACTTCTTGTAAATTCAAACACTACACTTATTTTTCGTCAGACACGTAAAGATATAAGTGTTAATTCGACATAATATTCTCTTTATAAAGCTGCAATTTCACAACTAAAAAGAAGAAGAAAGACTGAGTGGTTCGTCTTCACTAGACGCAAGGTGTAAGTACAGCGCCTCTGTTAGGTGTAACCGAGAAGAAAACCTTCACGGACTCGTCTACGAGCAGGTCGGTTTTCTTCGCTCTTCTTGCCATTCACCCTCAGCCACTCTTCAATGCCATATCTCGGGGCAAGATGAAATTCCAACCAACCCAACTCATAAAAACCCGAGGCGGGAAAATAAAAAGTCTTTGAGGGTGTTCGATTTTTATAACTGTACTCTCGACCCCTTGTTTCTGGTACGCAGAGCATAGATTCATATATGACAAGGTATCTACGATTAAGGCTAAGTTATAATATATATTTATATATGTTCTGAAGTAATAGAGTTTCCACAGGTAAACGAAACGAACTCGAAGTTGATAAACTTGCCCCGAGGTCTTGACGAGCTTGGGAAGTCTGCCACTGTTTCCTCCTGGGAGCCCGTGTGTCCTTTATAAAAAAGTTCTACGAAGCTCAGCCAACGCAAGAAGTCTATAAATATAGACGGGGAACCGCTCCATTAACAACCGTCCCCAAAGTATGTTCTTACTTTATAACTTTGGTTTAACACAACATAGTGCGTTTCACAAATTCGGTAGATTAACTTGCAAAGAATGTTCAATGCTTAAGTTGTGATAATAATATCGATGAGATTGGACTGTTTTTAAAATATGAGGATATCAAGGTCGCACACGCCTACCTCGAAAGAGATTAGATATAGACACACATTAGTGGTTGTGAACAGTCTTATGTTAGGCTCTGGGGTTTGAACTGTCCCTGGATTTATTTCGATTTTTTTTTTTTCAATTTAAGGTTCTTATTCATACTTCCGAGTTCTTATAGTTTTCCAGAGTAAAATAATATGAACTCCTACACCCTTGTTTTATAGAGGAAAATAATAATACAAAAATATTTCTAAATCTATCAACGATGCTGTATTTCAAAATCTGAATGCATAACAGTGCTTTATAGTTGAGAATTAATTATCTTTATAATTCATTACCATAACTTACATTTTTGACACGGTACTTATTATTTTTAGCATTAAAAAAATAAATATATTGATCGACTTTGCGACTGCAATTTTGTACTTTACGACAATGAAGCTCAGTATCGAACGAAACGTTAACCAGATGGTTGTTTTTAACCACAGAGTTATCGATGGGGCCTGAACACCTACATGGAATTTTTAAGACACGTTTTTTTTTCTAATATTTTTTTATACGCCACACTGCTTTTGTGTTTTATAGGATCCGTAATAACACACGAGTCACACAATACAACAAATTTTAAGCAAAAAATACCAGCAACACTGTAATTAATCCCAGTAATTACTGTTTGAGATTTCTATCTATGTATGTGTATTTTACAAAGAAATGTCTCATCTCACAAAATATGTTGGGGCAGGCATACAAACTGTTCAACATTCGGACATCATTTACAGTATTTGGTTTGTGTGTGTTCTATTTTCGCTCAAAGTTTCTCGAGGGCTACCTGAGTTAACCGTCACTAATTCTGAAGTGATAGAATATAGCTGTGGGCGCCCGCAGGAAGGAGCAAGAGGGGGCATTTGCTTCCCTTACATTTCACAAAAAAATTGCACGTATTATAATGTGAACTTAACATCGTAGTTAAACTAAATGTTTTTAGTAATTTTAATTGTAAGTTTGTGTTTGTGTTTAATCACACATAACACGTATTATTTTAGTCTGTTGACTTACACTGTAAAAGCTGCTCGTCTACATACACGTCCCCCCCCCGAAAATACAGCTCAAAGGACGAGCATGTTCGTCCGATGGGGATTCGGACTCCCTACCCGCGCGCCCTAACCACCAGGCCACCAGGCCCTATCTAAAGCTATACTTTCCATAAAAATAGCAAGTTTTTTTTTATCTTACCATTTTAACATACTAATTTGTTCCACATTTATTTCTTTATTTAATATGAAGACATTAAACTTAAATATGAAGCCCAAGTTATCATTCCATATACCAGTTGTCACTGAATTATACCGGTTTCAGGGAATTCCACCCCTCTCATCAGTAATCCTGTACAAGGGCAGATAGGAAAAAAACGATCAGCCTTATTGTAGTGGTGAACTGTATATTATATCTATGGTGTTTTTTAGTGACAAGTGGTGAATCGAATAATAAATTGGGCTTCAAGTTTATTGTTTAATATCTTAAATACCTTGCTGCTGAATAGCATCAGAATAATAAGTTAGTGCAACATATTCTAGAAATCCTATATAAATACAGGTTCGCTGTGGTAGGTAAAAGATAACTAAGAAAAAACCATACGTATAATATACAGTTCAACACCATAAGAAGCCTAACCTTGTTTATCAATTTGTCCTTCTCCGGGGCTTCTGATGAGGGATGAAAATCAGTATAACTCAGTGACATATGACGAAAAGAATAACAGACGGGGCTTCAAGGTTATTTTTTTAGTATCTTCAACAGCTTGATCTGAATAATGTCACAATAATAAGTTAGTAGTATAAATGCTTTTGAATCAGATACAAACATAAGTACACTGTGGTAAGTAAAAAGGTATATGTAACTGGTTCTTTTAATGTATTTTGTATTATTAGTTCCTTGTTTATTTCCCTGTTTTTCAACACAAGTCCACTGTGGTAAGTAAAAAGGTGTGTAACTGGTTCTTTTAATGCATTTTGTATTATTAGTTCCTTGGTTATTTCCCCGTTTTTCAACACAAGTCCACTGTGGTAAGTAAAAAGGTATGTAACTGGTTCTTTTAATGCATTTTGTATTATTAGTTCCTTGGTTATATCCCTGTTTTTCAACACAAGTCCACTGTGGTAAGTAAAAAGGTGATGTAACTGGTTCTTTTAATGTATTTTGTATTATTAGTTCCTTGGTTATTTCCCTGTTTTTCAACACAAGTCCACTGTGGTAAGTAAAAAGGTATGTAACTGGTTCTCTTAATGTATTTTGTATTATTATTTCCCTGTCTTTGTTTTCTCCAAGAAGCCAAGTTTATCAATAAAACCTCAACAACAGCATATCACAATGTCACGGCTGTAAGCAACAGAAGCGGGTTTATATGAGAGTGTTTAATTTACATTGACTAGGTCATCATAGTATATTAGAAGGTTGTTGTTTGGTTGTTTTTTGAATTTCTGCGCTAGTCGTCCCTAATTTGCCAATGAAAGACTAGAGAGAAGATAGCTAGTCATCACCACCCACCGCCAATTCTTGGACTACTCTTTTACCAACGAATAGTGGGATTGATCGTTACATTATAACGCCTCCCACGGCTGAAAGGGCGAGCATGTTTGGTGGGATGGGATTCGAACTTCAAGTCGAGCTTCCTAACCACCTG